GAGACTGTCAGGATGAATGTTCTTTGGAAATTCAGTTTGTAGTTGAATTAAGCTCACAGAAGGGAAACGGCTGCTTGGACCTCCCTTCACCTAAAAAGCTTATCAGTCACTTCCTGAACAAAGCAGGCTACTTATTATGACCCAATCAGGTCATGAACCCAGACATTTTCATTTTTTGGTGTTGATGATTTTAGTTATATATTACAGGTTTACTGCATGGTGTATTATTTTTATTTTTTTATTTTTATTTTTTTGGTACTAGTTTTGGACCAATCGAATACAAAGGCCCCATGAGTGCTGTTTACATTGAGAAGTTTGTCCGCCGGGTGATGAAACCACTTCTCTACATCCCATCTCAATCAGAATTACTAGATTTTCTCTCAAACTACGAGGTACCTGTCTTTCATATCTCCTCCATTCCCAAGGCCTTTCACTGGGTTGTATTGAATTGTTTGTATTAAAAGAGTACTTTTCTTAACATACCTCCTGAATTACAACAATTTAAAAGATCAATTATAGATAAGTCCCAGTTAAATGCTTTTTGAGGTACTGATTGTAAGGATGGTTTGGCCAAGTGAATTTTAGGAGAGTAGGATACTTACAAAATCTTGTCTATTTTTTGTTTGGGAATTTTCAAGAAACTTTAAGTTTGTCTCAGTTAATTTAGAGTGCTTGAGAATTAACTTAGAATTTATATGCAGCTGCAAATTTCTAAGAATATTATTTGGTACTTACAGCATTATACCATGAGATACCTAGTTTTTCTTATCTGTTCCACTTTAGCTTTTTTTAAAACTGGAAATATGTTCCTTTCTATTTTATTAAGTGCATAACTATTTCAAGGTCTTATTTATAGAAAGTTTTGTAACTTTCTTAACATGTCTTCTCTCCTCCTTCCCCGTTGCAGCTTCAACCCCTGATAAATTATTGTTTGTTTTTTTTTTGGTGACTGGCTAGTATAGGATCTGAACCTTTGACCTTGGTGTTATAACACCATGCTGTAACCAACTGAGCTAACCAACCAGCCCTTGTAGGATCTTTAATGCATATTCAGGACAGCTTATTATTGAGAGGCCAGTATTGAGATTATTAAAATAACCTCAAAAAATTATAAAAATAATTCCACAAAAAATTCATTGGAGCAAGTATAAAATCATACCTGGGTGCAAGTAAAATAGATACTTAGGTAAAACAAAATCAAGACCATAAGTACCTGATAGCAATCAGAACCCTATAAATCTAGACCTCACTTACTGATGATTTAGAATTTTGACTTGTTGAGTTTTACTTTTTGCACTATGTATATTTTGTACAGATTGGATATGCATTTTTTCACCAGAACATCATTTATAGCTTTTAAAATCATATTAGAAATCCTATTTATAGTGTTAACTATTAGCAGATTCCCCAAGCAGTAGTGTTAATATCTAGTTATTCTGCTTATAATTCTTAGACATGCATCAGAGTAAATATTTCCTAATCTTATGAGGATAATGTATAGACTTCAGTGCACCTCTTAGGCTTGTCTCCTGTTTTGCATGGGCAGGCTGGTAGGCAAGAGCTGCACTAGGAGGCAGGCCACCTGGGCTGCCTGATTCCTTTGGCAGCACTAACTGGGTCTGTGATTTGGGGCAGGGTACTCACCTGCTGGTGGGCACCAGGGGCCTGGGCAAGGCTTTTCTTGAGGTTTCTTTTAACTCTTTAAGTGCAAAAATGTTATGGTGAGTTCTCACATAGATCTGCAGTAGATGACAGGCAGGTTCCCTGGAGGTGATACAGCAAAATGGTGAATCAGGAGTCCGGCAGACATGAGTCATAGCTCAGCACCATCACTTATCAGCCGTGTAGTCATGGGCAAGTTACTTAACCTCTTTCTTGTCTGTGCAACAGGAATAAACCAGACAAGACATAGAACTGGCTGTTTGGCTCGGTTTATTAGAGCATGGCGTTATAATACCAAGGTCAAGGGTTCGCATCCCCATACCAGCCAGCCACCAAAAAAAAAGAAAAGAAAAAAGAAAATGCCTAGAATGCAGTCTCAATAAATGAAAACGTGTTATCAGTAAAAATGTCATTATAGAAAAAATCCTGTATATTTAGCACTATTAAGAGAATTTAAAATGTACATAATACCTGCTGGAATTCATTTCAAAAACTTTTGTTTGTTTTGTAATGAAGATGATAAAAAATGACCTGCAAGCACCAAAAGTTCATCATTCTGTGATGCATCATTGGAACTTTTGTGGAATACTGTGCTCAGTTTTGATTGCTGTCCCCTTTTTTTTCTTAAATGTTTACTCATTCACTCCTAAAAAGGAAAGAGAGATAGGAGAGGAGCTATGGAACATCAACAAATATCATGTAGCGTGTGTTGACCCTTCCAAATAAAGTGTGGAAAAGATCGAGATCATTTAGCTTAATAAGAGGACTCAGAAACAGCTTCATTATAATTTTTAGCTCTATCAGATTTGTATCCAGAGAGTTCTGAGCCAGTTTTTCTGCTTTATTTCTTAGCAGAGGTCATGTGATAAAGAAGGACTCAACTAAGATTTATTAGAGGCCTGGGTTTATTTTTTTTTTAATTTATTGACTGGTAAGGGGATCTTAACTCTTGATTTGGTGTTGTCAGCACCATGCTTTTGCAAGTGAGCTAACCGGCCATCCCTGTATAGGGATCCACACCTGTAACCTTGGTGTTATCAGCACCACACTCTCCCAAGTGAGCCATGCACTGGCCCAAGGCCTGGGTTTTAGACATCAGCAAGTCTCTCGTTTCTGAGTTTCACTCAGATTGCTCATCTCTAAAATAAAGGAGTTGGCTTAGATCATCCCTGCTGACATTTTTTGGCTTCAGTAAAGTTTAGAGGTTGGAAAGGGATAGAAGAAAGCTTATAAGTTTTTGGTAATAAAAGTATTTTTGGGAGGGCCGGCCCGGTGGCGCACTGCTACAGTGCGCCGCTTGGGAGTGCGGAGGCGCTCCCGCCGAGGGTTTGGATCCCACATACAGACCGGTTCCCACTCACTGGCTGAGCGAGGTGCNTCGTTTCTGAGTTTCACTCAGATTGCTCATCTCTAAAATAAAGGAGTTGGCTTAGATCATCCCTGCTGACATTTTTTGGCTTCAGTAAAGTTTAGAGGTTGGAAAGGGATAGAAGAAAGCTTATAAGTTTTTGGTAATAAAAGTATTTTTGGGAGGTCTGGCCCGGTGGCGCACTGCTACAGTGCGCCGCTTGGGAGTGCGGAGGCGCTCCCGCCGAGGGTTTGGATCCCACATACAGACCGGTTCCCACTCACTGGCTGAGCGAGGTGCAGGTGTGACACTGAGGGTTGCGATCCTGTTGCCGGTCCCGGCCCGGTACGGGCGCGACACTGAGGGTTGCGATCTGTTGCCGGTCACGAAAAAAGACAAAAAGGAAAAAAAAAAAGTATTTTTGAGTTAATGCCCTCGAACATCTGTATCAGAGATCTTTCTAATCCTTTTTTATTTATTGCCTTGATGTTTCTAGCATTCTCTGTAGTTGCATCTGTAAGAGAAAGACAAGTGCATATTTATGACTGAGCAATGAGGATGGTTCCTTTTCGGGGTGTGGCAGCTGGCCAGTATGAGGATCCTTGACCTTGGTGTTATCAATACCGCCTCTAACCAACTGAGCTAACTGGCCAGCCCCAAAGGCCCATTTCTTATCTTTAGCCTTAGCATTATTTGAATCTGCTTTTTAGCAGTATTTTTAAAGGTCGTGCTCTAAGTATTTTTTTTGCGGCTGGCTGGTATGCAGATCCAAACCCTTGACCTTTAGTGTTATAGCACTGGATGCTCCAAGTATTGACATGGAGTTCATACCAGACTTACATCACTGAGTCTGACATTACTCACAGTTGGTTTTTGGCAACCCACTTAGAGTGATATATGACAATGTTAGACTGTCTTTAAAAACAGGAACCAAGGGCTAGCCCGTGGTTCACTCGGGAGAGTGCAGTGCTGATAACACCAAGGCCACGGGTTCGGATCCTATATAGGGATGGTCGGTTCGCTCACTGGCTGAGCGTGGTGCTGACAACACCAAATCAAGGGTTAAGATCCCCTTACCGGTCACCTTAAAAAAATAATAAATAAAATAAATAAATAAATAAAAACAGGAACTGAAAGAGTGCCACCAAGATGGGACCCTAGATTGCTTCTGTCAGCCTTTAAAATGGCTTCCTCCCAAAAGCTGTGACTAGCTTTTATCAGGTTAATATCATCTTTTGCTGGGCTTCTCACTGAGATGAAATTGTCTAGTTGAGCAAGAGATAATACTTGATTAATTGTGAAAGAACTAGGGAGTAAAGACCAGCATAGCATTTGCCAAACCATTTATCTTGTGACATACACACACACTGTAAGATAACACAGACAAAATTCTAGATCCAGAAATGAAACCACCATCATGGTTTTGACAGCTGAATGAACAGGGTAGTTAAAAGAATTTTTGGAAGTCCCAATATAGAGTACAATATACTTTTGGATATTTTACAAAATTAGACTTTCTTAACCTTGGCACAGTTGACATTTGGGGTCAGATAATTCTGTGTTGTGGGGGATCATCCTGTGCTTTGCAGGGTGTTTACGTTGTCCTCCACCCACTAGATGCCAACAGCATCCCCTCTTCCAGTTCTTGACAACCAAAAATATCTCCAGACATTGTCCCCCTTAGGGGACAAAATTGCCCCAGTTAAGAACCACTGCTCTAAATGATTCAGTTTCCCCAATTAAGGCCTTAAGATGATGTATCACATATGTTAGTACAAACATATCTTTTTTCATGTGGCACTCAGAAGGCCACAATTTAATAGTTGGGAGTTTATCATTTGCTTATAGTGGTAGCAATACAGAGAATATGAAAATTAAACAGTGTCTTGACTAGAGAATTCTGGAATGTTATATGTGGAGGATTAAAGCCAGTATTAGAATGTCATCAATAGAGCTGTTCCTGATACTCAGCTTTTTACTTGAATTATTTCTTTTCCCCAAAAAACAAAGCCATGTATTTAAAATGTGTTAAGGAGTTTGTAAATTTAAAGAAATTTTACTATGAAAGATACTTGTTTTAGAGCCTTGTCTCCTAATTTATACATTTTATAAATATGGATTTCAATGTTGAGTATTTAAGTGTACCAAAATTAGGTTGAGATAATTATTAATGTTTTTGTGGCACTTCTGAGGTTTGTCATAATGGCAGAGTTGGTTTTTTTTTTGGCAGTTGGCCAGTAAAGGGATCGAACCCTGGATCTTGGTGTTACCAACACCACAGTCTGTCCAGCTGAGCTGACGAGTGATTGTTTTTTGCTTGACTTACGTTTGTCTGCAGATATGTTTGTGACATTTTATAGGTGTGCATTTGATAATTATCCC